TTTTTCATTTGTTGTTTTGCACATAAATGAGGCCATTAGTTTTTTTTTCTACAATTAAGGGTTAATCTAAAGGAAAAACCATTAGTTGGATGATTAATCTAAAGGATTTCTATGTTCCGTAAGCAGTCCCTCCCTTGTCTCTGGTCCATCTTTATGCATTGAAAGATGTATGGAAAATTAGATGGTTGATAAATTGGTTTTATACAATTTACTAGCACCTATGAATTATTTTAGCACTTCTTTTGACCACTGTTAAAATCGGTCTAGCTAAATAATGTATTGCCACCACTAACCTTACACATGATCAAATATTTCCAGCAATTGGTCAATTAATCTGAATCTTAATAAGACTGGAAAACCTTGAAGACTAGACACACAGGTTTTTAGGCTACACATGACTAAATCTGTGAAATTTTTTTTAGGAATATATTTGGCTGTTGACGTGTCAATGTAACCATAGGTCTTTGTACTGAACCATCATTCTGTGAGAGATAAAGTGTTAGATTATTGGTATGCTTCATTGAATGAATTTTCTATTTTCATCATAATATAAACGATGATATCATATAAGAATAGCAGCAGTAAATTCAATCCTTGGTCTAAATGTTTTCCGAAATAGGCTGATTTGAAAACTTAGCTTAATATAAGGTCCTCATAAGTTTTGTCTCTATGACAGTGTACAGGTGTGCACTGAATTAAAGTTCCCTGATTGCATGATTGCATCACTTTCGTACCTGACATCTTTCTTTTTTAACCAGATAATTGAAATTCAGTATTTTGCAATTTTTTTTTTAAAGTTTGCATTGGAAATTAAAAAAAAGATGTGCATGATTATTTACATGAACAGAAAATTCCCAAAACAATGATTGTTGTGAAAAACAATTATCTGTCATAAACACAATTGTATGAGTAATAAAAATCAACACTGAAAAGTTACTCATAAAATCTATTCTTATGTACAGAACAAAACCCTGAAGAAATGTGTTATCCAAGTCTGTGTATTTAATGTCAAATTAATTGATGTTACATGCTATTACTGTCTGATATGCATCTCTGCATTTTATTGCGCTGAAGAAAGTGCAATTTGTTGCATTTGATGCATTTTTGAATTAATTGGGAAACAAGATCTAGGCATCTGGTTGTACCTCCACATTTACCTGGCTTTAACTTGATGGGGAGCTTTACTAGTACATTTATAATGTATTCAAATGAAATAAATAAAGAAATGACAGAAGGGGTTGATTTGTATGCTGTGGATTCAGTTATTTTTGTGGGTACCAATTTTCATGGATTGAGGAAAAATTTGTATTTTGTGGATATTTGATTTCATGGTTTTGCTAAAGTCTGAATACAAACCTATAGATATTTTGTAGTTTGTTGAATGTTCAAATATGTAGTTCACCTGCATACCCATGAAATCCAGGACAATTGGTATCCCACAAATCACAACACTCAATTCCTGTTTTAAATCAAGAGCTATGTCTTGTTATTATAGCCCACCCTAAAGGGTAAACTGCTTGACATCTGCCTGTCTGTTCATCCATCCATTTATGAGTTGTCCTTCCATCCATCCATTGGTTTTCCTACCATCTATCCATCCATCCATCCTTTTTTTTCATGAAGTACAAATCATAACTTCCTGAAATTTGGTATCAAGCTTCAAGACACTGAGCATTCTTATCCTTGTGGTGGGTTTTAACTCTCATTGCTTATTTTACTTTTGAAATACCTATATACTTACACATATTGCCAATGTTTGAAATTATTGTCACATTTTTCTCAGGTATTACAGATTAAAGCTTCCAGAAGTTTTGTAACAAGTTTCTTGTGAGCATTCTGTACTTGTGATGCATTTTCACATCCATCACTATTCACGTTCCAGATTTCTGAATACTTATAATGGGGAATCATGTAGTTAGCAATAGTTCACAATTGATATCTTGTTATTTATACTTTAATGTCTTTGTCCATAAAAGAATATGGTGTTTTGGCCAATCTTTGCTTATATATATTCACAACTAGTCATTCTAAAGTAGGATCAATTCAGAACTTGATTTTTGGTATGTAGTCTTTTCTTTATTGTTGAAAACTATTAATTGACCTCCGTATGTCTTTTTTTAGTTTTTGTCCTGTAGTTGGGATTTTATCTCATAAAACCATATCCCGGCATATCTCCTTTTATATACATATACATTGTAGGCCATAGTTATGTGTTCTAGGCCAATTGCTATATCTAACAAATGATATAATGACATACACACCTTCAGTATTTGTATTTAGTTAAAAATTTGTGTGTAAGTAAACTGTATTTACATCTGAAATTTCTTCCAATCATGAAGTAAGGAAGCATTTATTAGGTCTATCCAGATTCTCCAGGTATTATAAAAACAAATTCACCAAGCAAAGTGACATGACACCCTATTTATATGTACTGAAGTGTGGTAAAGCCCAAGTAGGTATTTATACTTCTTCGAACAACAACAATATTTCTAACAGTTGAGGAGGGTTGATATTTAAAATATATGTTGATCTAATATTGCTTGAAGGCTTCTTATGACAATTGTTATAAAGACTTCTCTCAATGTTGTACTGAAGATATTCAATGTTTGATGTCATATCAGAATAATACATAAATATTACAACGCTTGGCTCATGATAGGTTGGTTTGTCCCCACCATTAATCCCACAAGAAGAAATTTAACACAATCTTGTAAGGTAAAGTGCCATTGAACTCCTCTATTTATCTTACCTTAGCTGTCCTTGACGGTTTTATTTTTTTGTCAATTACAAATTCACTATAATCTTTACTGTGCAAAGATTAATTACAATATGTTTTGCTCAGAATTTTAATATTTTCATGTTAATTTTAGATGGCGTTCTTGATTAAGTTCATAGTACAAAAACATGTTTAAATGACATCTGAATTAGAAAAATTTGAATTGGCAAAAAATTTAAATATGATTCATGCATTAAAAGTTTAATTTAGATTGAATAACAAGATTAGAAATGTCTGTTTTTTTTCAGTGAAAGAATTTTTTTCTTACTTTAAATACCCCAGGTAGAAAGCTTTAAAATTGTATTAAGAGCTACCTTAAAAAATGTTTAAAGAAAGAAAAAAAAAGGTAGTGCTTTTAACCAGGGCTGTTACTAAGTCCTCCTATTGGGATTATATGACTTTTCTTATTCATTAATACAATTTAAAACACAGCATATTTTAGCCTTCTATAAAAAAAACAAAAAACTTCAACACTGTTAGAAAGAAACGGCAAATAATATCTGAGTAATAAATGGGGCAAGTTCTGAATGCAAATAAGCTGCTGATCTGTCATATATACAACAACAAAAAATTCCCTTAAACTGAGCAATTCGCCAACCATGTTTTTTTTAATGATTTACAGTGTTCTACTTAAAATAATATATTTACTCACATATATATACACAATTTGATTAGTGGGACAAAAGCAACGAAATATTTTTAATGAAGGCCTTCTGTATTCTGATTCAAAATCTTTTAATAAAAAGTGATTGACAACCATTATTTACATACATTGTTAATTAATTTATTCATCAGTTTTACTAATTGTAACTACTATACATAAATACTTTTACTATTATTATTTAACCTACTGTTAAATATAGGATATAGACATTTTATTTGAAGAAAATAAGGCATCATCAAGTTTCTAGATATATTTTTTTTTCCTGATTTTCCCCCTGTGTATTTAGATTTTGATTATGAATGATAAATGATGGCAGTGGCATTTCATGTCATAATTATAAAAACTTTTAGCAGACTGCTGAAGAAAGGATGTAGAGTGGATTTACAGATCTCTATTTAAGTGTACTTCATTAGTACTTCTTTAAATGATTGTAAAAATTGAAATTTTGGACATTCAATTTTTGAGAATATCTTAACCCAAATTATGTAATTTGCTAGTTTCTTCTGTTACCTATTCTAACATCGAACTCAGAATTCTTTTAAACCGCGTTTTACTGTGCATTTTGCTGTGCATTGGTTTATTACACATTGGCTAGAGGTATAGGGGAGGGTTGAGATCTCACAAAACATGTTTAACCACTCTGCATTTTTGCACCTGTCCCGAGTCAGGAACGTCTGGCCTTTGTTAGTCTTGCATGTGTTTTTAAATTTTGGTTCATTTATGTTTAGGAGTTAAGTGTGGCATCCATTTTGCTGAACTAGTCCGATAATGGTTTTAAGGCCAGCTGAAGACCGCCTCAGGGTGTGGGATTTTCTTCCTGCATTGAAGACCAATTTGTGGCCTTGGGCTGTTTCTGCTCTTTGGTCGGGTTTTTGTCTCTATCACATTCTCCGTTTCCATTCTCAATTCTAATCTAATTAACTACCTGTATTGCTCTCTCAACAGAGGTCAGTCTATATTACTAACATATACTAAATGTCCTTTTAAGTGGAGGTGGCACAATTGTTCCTTAAAAATGTTGTGAAACAGAATCTATTTTTCAAAAAATCAATGCAACATTATAAGAGGTGAACTTAATATATTTGAGTTTGAAAGATAGACTCTGATCAAGACCAAGGTGGTTCATCTTTCCTGTAATGATGGAGTAATTTAGCCTGTAATAAAAGTTGTGTGCATTTTTACAATATCAGAATACTGGTACATATCCCATATTTTGCAGAATATCTCCCATAAAGTTTGTAATATTTTGGATTTTTTGATTGATAGATGTAAACAGTTATTTAAATCCTCGTGAAAATACATATTTGCAAACTTCTTATGTAAGAGAATAAACACCAAACTCAAGTAACATGAAACATCTCAACACCAAAACCTCCTCTGAAATCATGATGAATGCATAATACACAAATGTCATCAGGATATTTTGTCCCAAATATTCTATTGGCTGGAACACTGATCTTGCATGTTTTGAGGAAATTAATGACAACTTGTATAAAGAGACAATGTTTACTTGACATACTGCATGTTATCAAAGATATTTATATACTCTTTATCTTACAGCAGATACACTACAGAAGTCTAGGAGAACATTGTTGGCTAGCCGCCCGCCAAGCTGTCACCTGACTAGAGTTGACGAAGAACCCACCACAACCACAAAGAGTCGTGAAACTGAGATTGAGACAGTTGATCGAGGTGTTGGACCAACACCACACCCACCAAATGTAGATACACGTGATCCACGAGACCTTAGGGATCCTAGGTTCCCTCCATCATATTTCGGCTTTCCTCCTCTAATTGATCCTAGAAATGGCTTGTTTGAATCTCCTTATTCAGGTAAACAGCAACTTTATGTCGCTGTACAGCTGACACAATGAACAAAACCCATACTCTATAATCAGCTATAAAAATCCCAGACATAACAGAATGTTAAACAATTCAAAAAAGTTTGGTAAGAGAGTCTCAGCCTGAAATGTTTTCCATGACTAACTTATAGTTCCTTAGATATTTATTGATTTGTAAGGGTTACAATTAAGATCAAAGTCTAAATCATATTATCGTCTTCATTTTCCTTGGCCAAGTGTTACATTTCCTTAAAAACTCTCAATATAAACGTAAGAAGTTGTGGTATGATTACCAAAGTGACAAATCTCCACCATAGACCAAAATGACATAGAAGTTAAACAACTATAGGTCACTGTACAGCCATAAAAAATGAGCAAAAATTTAGTAAGTGTTTCATGATATACTTAATGTGGCAAACAAATTATATATAACATTGACTTTTTTTGCTTGAATTGCTACTTATATGGAAGAAAAAAAATTGTCCCATAAAAACACTGTTGCCAAACTATCTGAAAAGTGCATGTCTGAAATGGGAAGGAAGGGGTCATGACTTTTAGTGAAGATGCTTTTAATGCCCATGCAGTAGCGGAGAGGGCATTAAGTTTTACCCTTGTCTGTCCGTATGTCCTGAATTTTTTTCCTTTCTCTAACTTTAGTTTGCCTCAACCAAATGTTATGAAACTTATACATAATGCTTATTACCACAAAATACAGATCAGTTTGAATTCGGGTGGCGTCACTTTTACCTTTCTAGAGTTATTCTCCTTTACAAATGGAAAAATTGCAAAATTTTTCGTTTCCATTCTCTTACATAAGTTTGCCTACCATTCTAGAGTTATGCCCCTTTACAAATGGAAAAATTGCTGAATTTTTTGTTTCTGTTCTCTAACTAAAGTTTGCCTCAACCAAATGTTATGAAACTTTTACACAATGCTTATTACCCCAAAACACAGATCAAGTGCGAATTAGGGTAACGTCACTTTTACAGTTCTTGAGTTATGTCCCTTTATACCATCATATGCAAGTGGGGGCATCATCTGTGTCCGACACATTCCCCATTTATTTTTTTATGAAAAAAAAATCTAGAAAAACGTAAAGAAAAATTTCTCACGTGGTATTAAAAAGTTGGTAAAAAGTTCTTTTAATCAATATAATCAATTTAACTGTTTCTTATTGAAGAAAAAAAAAATGTGTGTCCTAGAACTTTGAGAACTCATTTATAAACACTGAGGATAAAATCAAGATATTCAATTTGAATGCTGTAGCCTAATTCTAAGTAGACTGGATCTAGTATTGAGTACTAATATTAACCTGATTTTTGTCAAGTCATTATTTTAAATTAAAACAATGCATTCATGTATGATTATATATTTCAGGTTTCAACCTACCATACCAATTACCTTACCCAGTCAATGCTCCTATACCATTGAATTCTGGAACTCTGGAAGGGAGATACAACTGGCCTCCACCATCACCATATCATCATCCTATACATGGGTAAGTGTCATGTGTCCTAGTATTCCTACCACTAGCCTCCACCATCACCATATCATCATCCTATACTTGGGTAAGTGTCATGTATCCTAGTATTCCTACCACTGGCCTCCATCATCACCATATCATCATCCTATATATGGGAAAGTGTCATGTGTCCTAGTATTCCTACCACTGACCTCCACCATCACCATATCATCATCATATATATGGGAAAGTGACATGTGTCCTAGTATTCCTACCACTGGCCTCCACCATCACCATATCATCATCTTATACATGGGTAAGTGTCATGTGTCCTAGTATTCCTACCACTGGCCTCCATCATCACCATACCATCATCCTATACTTGTGTAAGTGTCATGTGTCCTAGTACTCCTACCACTGGCCTCCACCATCACCATACTATCATCCTATACGTGGGTAAGTGTCATGTGTCCTAGTACTCCTACCACTGCCCCCCACCATTGTAACAGTGGTTTGATTCCGCCAGTGTACTTTATCTGGAGGAAGAAAATCCCCAGTGATTTTTATCCACCAACAAAAATTCACTAGGTTTTTTTTATCCGGGTCCAGTGTAAAACATCCACCAGTCATTATAAGGTTCTAAAAAACGTTTTTTGAAAGGGAAATGTATATAAAATGTGGCTTAATAGTTTTTAGTGTATTTGAAACTTGCATAGTTGATTTATGTAAAAAGTGGAGAGTTTTCATCCAAGGAATGTTCACACTAGTGTTTTTGTACCAGAATGATTGCACTCATTTTGAACACACAATAACACAATAATGCTTATTAACGAATAAGATTTAAATAAATTTTCTATGCAAATCTATAAAATCATATGCTTTTAAAAAATCACTAATTGTGATATTTATATTTATTGGATTGCCGAAGTTTTTCTGTGTATTTGCTTTTCTGTCGACTTGGATATAAATCATATCTTCTATGTCAATATCAAAGGATGCTTCTATAATTGAAACTTTATGTAAGAACAAATCTGCTCTTTAAATTTGGTTTATATCAAGTTCAATGTCCTGATCATTGATAAAGTATTTTGAGTTATAAAAATATCTTCCTCATCATCATCAATATTATTTACTGGATTGACTCAGATTAATTAAACTGGTTCCTTGAAAATCATTTTAATTTTAACCCATTTATTTATGTAAACAATAATCCGGTCTAAAATAAACAAAACAACGATATCAAGATCGACGCTTTCACACTATTTACATCCAATATTCTCTAGTGAAAAAAAGTTACTCGGAATAAATACACAGCTGATTGAAAGTACGCTTACACCATCACCATACCATCATCCTATACATGGGTAAGTGTCATGTGTCCTTGTACTTCTACCACTTGCCTCCACCATCACCATATCATCATCCTATACATGGGTAAGTGTCATGTGTCCTAGTACTTCTACCACTGACCTCCACCATCACCATATCATCATCCTATACATGGGTAAGTGTCATGTGTCCTAGTACTTCTACCTCTGGCCTCCACCATATCATCATCCTATACTTGTGTAAGTGTCATGTGTTCTAGTACTTCTACCACTGGCCTCCACCATCACCATATCATCATCATATACATGGGTAAGTGTCATGTGTCCTAGTACTTCTACCACTGGCCTCCACTATCACCATATCATCATCCTATACATGGGTAAGTGTCATGTGTCCTAGTACTTCTACCACTGGCCTCCACCATCACCATATCATCATCCTATACATGGGTAAGTGTCATGTGTCCTAGTACTTCTACCACTGGCCTCCACCATCACCATATCATCATCCTATACATGGGTAAGTGTCATGTGTCCTTGTACTTCTACCACTGGCCTCCATCATCACCATATCATCATCCTATACTTGTGTAAGTGTCATGTGTCCTAGTACTTCTACCACTGGCCTCCACCATTACCATACCATCATCCTATACTTGGGTAAGTGTCATGTGTCCTAGTACTTCTACCACTGGCCTCCACCATTACCATATCATCCTATACACGGGTAAGTGTCATGTGTCCTAGTACTTCTACCACTGGCCTCCACCATCACCATATCATCATCCTATACATGGGTAATTGTCATGTGTCCTAGTTCTTCTACCACTGGCCTCCACCATCACCATACCATCATACTATACTTGGGTAATTGTCATGTGTCCTAGTACTTCTACCACTGGCCTCCACCATTACCATACTATCATCCTATACATGGGTAAGTGTCATGTGTTCTAGTATTCCTACCACTGGCCTCCACCATTACAATATCATCATCCTATAGATGGGTTACTGTCATGTGTTCTAGTATTCCTACCACTGGCCTCCACCATCACCATATCATCATCCTATTCATGGGTAAGTGTCATGTGTCCTAGTACTTCTATCACTGGCCTCCACCATTACCATATCATCATCCTATACATGGGTAAGAGTCATGTGTCCTAGTATTCCTACCACTGGCCTCCACCATTACCATATCATCATCCTATACATGGGTAAGTGTCATGTGTCCTTGTACTTCTACCACTGGCCTCCATCATCACCATATCATCATCCTATACTTGTGTAAGTGTCATGTGTCCTAGTACTTTTACCACTGGCCTCCACCATTACCATACCATCATCCTATACTTGGGTAAGTGTCATGTGTCCTAGTACTTCTACCACTGGCCTCCACCATTACCATATCATCCTATACATGGGTAAGTGTCATGTGTCCTAGTACTTCTACCACTGGCCTCCACCATTACCATATCATCCTATACATGGGTAGGTGTCATGTGTCTTATTACTTCTACCACTGGCCTCCACCATCACCATACCATCATCCTATACGTTGGTAAGTGTCATGTGTCCTAGTACTTCTACCACTGGCCTCTACCATTACCATATCATCCTATACATGGGTAAGTGTCATGTGTCCTAGTATTTCTACCACTGGCCTCCACCATCACCATATCATCATCCTATACGTGGGTAAGTGTCATGTGTCTTAATATTACTTTCACTAGCCCCCACCATCACCATATCATCATCCTATACATGGGTAAGTGTCATGTGTCTTTATATTACTTTCACTAGCCCCCACCATCACCATACCATCATCCTATACGTGGGTAAGTGTCATGTGTCTTAATATTACTTTCACTAGCCCCCACCATCACCATACCATCATCCTATACGTGGGTAAGTGTCATGTGTCTTAATATTACTTTCACTAGCCCCCACCATCACCATACCTTGATCCTCTACATGGGTAAGTGTCATGTGTCTTAATATTACTTTCACTAGCCCCCACTATCACCATACCTTGATCCTCTACATGGGTAAGTGTCATGTGTCTTAATATTACTTTCACTAGCCCCCACCATCACCATACCTTGATCCTCTACATGGGTAAGTGTCATGTGTCTTAATATTACTTTCACTAGCCCCCACCACACCATACCTTGATCCTCTACATGGGTAAGTGTCATGTGTCTTAATATTACTTTCACTAGCCCCCACCATCACCATACCTTGATCCTCTACATGGGTAAGTGTCATGTGTCTTAATATTACTTTCACTAGCCCCCACCATCACCATACCTTGATCCTCTACATGGGTAAGTGTCATGTGTCTTAATATTACTTTCACTAGCCCCCACCATCACCATATCATCATCCTATACGTGGGTAAGTGTCATGTGTCTTGATATTACTTTCACTAGCCCCCACCATCACCATATCATCATCCTATACGTGGGTAAGTGTCATGTGTCTTAATATTACTTTCACTAGCCCCCACCATCACCATATCATCATCCTATACGTGGGTAAGTGTCATGTGTCTTGATATTACTTTCACTAGCCCCCACCATCACCATCACCTTGATTCTCTACCTGAGTAACTGTCACATGTTCTAATATTCCTTTCACTTGTTAAATAATAGCCTCAGTTGATATATTGCACTTCCCTTAGGGTGAAGATTCGGTTTTTCAACCTTAGCTACTATTTATTAATATTCAAGGCTAAAAAAAATATTGTTCTATAAATAAAACATATCTGAACAAAAAGACTTGGATAAATAGTCTATAGTATTGATTTAATTTCTCTATATGAGCTTTTGTTTACCATAATTAATGCTGGTATGTACTTTAAGATAATAACGGATTGTCATGTATAGCTGTTTGTGACAATACTACACAGCATATGTTTTAGCCAGAAGAAAAACACAAGATTACATGAAATTTATACCTCCTGTTAATATTCTCTGATGACACATGCAGAAAATTGGTGACTTGATGGATATGTCATGTACAAAGTTATTAGGTTGATTACTGTTTGTTGGTTTGATATATATTCTATAAAGATTTAATCTACTACTGTGACTTAAAAATAACACACCAAACAAAGCATTAAGAAATATTGTTTACAATATAAAAAAAAGAAGATGTGGTATAATTGCTAATGAGACAACTCTCCACCAGAGACCAAATGACAGAAGTTTACAACTATAGGTCAACGTACGGTCTTCAACAATGAGCAAAACCCATACCGCATATTCAGCTATAAAAGGCCCTGAAATGACAAATGTAAAACAATTCAAACCAGAAAACTAACTGCTTGATTTATGTAAAAACAAAAGTATATTTAAGTTTCATGTTTTCATTGATGAATAAATAAATAGCAACATTTTGGACCCCAAATACCAAAAGGTTTTGCAAAATGCAGCTATGGTAATCTATTCCTATGGTAGATAATCCTTAGTATTTAAAAAAAATTCTAAGTATATATATATATATTGTTAACAGTTTACAGAATATAATGGTTCCAATGATTTATATTAACCAATAATCTTTGATATTTATTGTTAACAGTTAATTTATAAATATTGATTTGTTCTGATTTCAGTCTAGCAACCAGCCCCTCACATTCTGATGTATCCTTATTTAGTATGAGAAGTCAGTTATCCCCTGGAGAGCCTGTGACAAACCTTGCAGCTCGAATCCATCTAGAACAGTTACAGCGTAGTTATTATCAGCCAGGTCATTTGGGACAGAGAAGATACAGTCCTGCTAGTTTACCGGGTAACTGATCCATAGAATATGAAAACGACGCAATATATTGAGAATATATAAAAGTTTGTTATTCTCATTCAATGAAGTTATAGGATTGGTATTTGAAAAGGCATAATTTTGGATGCATTCACATATTACAACAATAAAAAAAGAAATGACAGATATATCAAAGGAAAAGCACTGCTATTACTGTCTTTTGTCTTGACTATTGCTTGGTCTTCACCAGTGAATTGAAGTGCTCACACTTTACTTCTTTACAGCAAGAATAATATGGTTCCAATGATTTATATTAACTAATAATCTTTGATATTTATTGGTAACCATTACATATCTCATATATGGGATTTACAAATGCAATATGTATAAAACTTGTAAAAAAGTCTTTAAAGGTTCATGTGTCTGATTATTTCTTTGATCACAAAAAGACCCAGTCATGCATAATATTTTCATCAAACTTTAATCTCTGCTTCATTATTGGGAAAGCTTGAACTTAGCATGAGCTTGTTTCAAAATCTGAGGTCAAAGGTCAAGGTTACAATATGTCATAAAAGGCGTCATAGGGCTCTAGCCTTGCATCCGTGCTTTTTCATCCTTCAAGACTTTATATTAAAAAAGAGGTTGAACCTTACACTGTCAAACTTCAAATGTAAAATATGCAGCATGATTTTAGAGGCTCCAGTCCCATCACTTAACGATCGGGATAGATTGAACATTATATATTTGACATTTAGGACAGAGGTCAAAGATCAAGGATTACCTTTAGCATAACAGAAAAAAATGTATGTAGTTTTCCAAGGAAATGGTTATATTTGCTGTGCAATGGCTAATTTTATACATCTTTTTTCTTAGAAATTAGTTGTGAAATATGAAACTAAATAAGTATTTTTAGTGTCTTAATTCAACTGCTGTTGGACAAGTTCCCTAAGGTATTATATTGCCAGTTACAGGCCCTCTAGATAACATATGTGTACCATAATTTTCTTCAATTCTCCATTCATAAATTTAGGAATTATTAAGAAATTAAGGTTCTAATTCCCTCAGGCAAAGTTGACCCAAAGTGGATTTGGCTACTCATTTTAGATCCCTTTTGGTCGTATAGCTCCACAAGTATTCAAACATTTATAATTCCTTGGCTTTCAATTTTTCAGCATTCCTGCTGAAGGTAAATCCAGAAAAGCACTTCGTACACACTAAACAAAATTGAAATTATATCTCATCTTGTTGAAGGTTGACCTTAGATGATTTCTACTTTTTGGTCTTTTAAGTTTATTGTTTCATATTCTATATGTTTTATTTGTATTTCCATTCCAAAACTTAGTTATTTAGTTATTGACTATCATTATAAGAATGTTGCTTATGCAACACAATTTGTATCATATTTTTATGCATGAAAGACAAATTCCTTGCCTTAACTTAAGTGTAAAGAGGATGTTCAAAACAATTGAAAAAAAATTGCTTATACATGTATTGTAGTGAAAATGTTTTGTGTTCTTCCAGATTATAACAGATACAGACAAGCATTATTGGATCAAGGTATATTTCTTCTGCTGTAATGCACAATTTAAATAAAGTGTGATTTGGGATACTTGTCAGTGAGACAGCAACCTATCACTACAATTTAACTAAAGAAGAAAAAACATTGAGAAGTCAACTTGCATATGTTTTGTAATTTATCATACTGTTATTAAAGGGAAGTTTCTATACTGACTTAAATTCTACTCCCACTCACAGAGTGGATGGTATACTTCGTACTTTTTCTCTGCGTCTGTTGGCATCTCCACATTTTTCATTTGTAGCTCTCACTATTCAAAAACCTGTCTTCAGAATTTATTTAAAAATAATATATTAATGCTATGAACATTTCTGTTGTAATGATAAAAATTTATGTGGGTCACTGGATATATTTTAACCGAATTTTCGAAGGAAAAATCGGTTATTGATTTTGGGATGTACGGTGGGCTGGCGGGCGGGCAACTGCCAAACAGTGTCCGTTCATTAACATGAAAACCCTTTGACGAAATTTTTTCAAATGTAGATATATTGTTTCCTGTTTCAGTTGAAATCAATTAAGTCTGAATATAAAGAGTGAAAAAAATCAATTTTCATGCTTTTCCATACATCATTCAAACTAGAATGATTTAAACAGCAATAGATTTTTTTAACAAAACACTGTGGACCAAATTTCTAGATATATATAGCATTATAAAGGGGAAAATAATGCATTTTTCTCATTGATTTTTAAGTGCATTCTACACATTTATAGATGTATTCCAAATTGTTTTAATAGATTGTATATCTGGAAGTATAATTGCTATGTGTATCACTTTTACAATATAGATGTAGATTAAGGATTTCTTAATCCATACACAATTTCATAAACATCAGAAATATTGCTGAATTGGGAAAAAAAATTTGTAAGTGGACACTATACAGAAAAATGATAAATGTTCATTCACATGATTATGTAATGAATTATTTGCTATTATTTTATTTGCGATAATTGTCTTAGGCAACCTTGGCCAAATTCTATAGATTATAACTACACTAAATCCTAGTCTAGATTTTGATTTAAGATTAAAAAAAAAAGATATTTCTAAAGGTTGATAAAAATTACAAGCTAAAAATAAAATAGAATGTATTTTCCTGTTCTTGAATAAGTTTAACATGCATGTTTGATAGCAAGTGAAAGAAATTGAAAATTTAATAATATTAGTTAAAACAAGAGTAATGTTTGATAATGCTTGAGAAGAAATTGACCAAATAATTTTTTTTATCCCTTAGAATACAGCAGACTTTCTCAAACAATAGGACATCAAGGTAAGAATACAAGAAGCATGCATAAGTGATCTATAACATATACATACACCAATAAAAGTTAAAACATAAGGACACAGGACTTTTAAGGTTAATTAAATTAACCAAGAATTATAAATTTTAAGACTTTTAATTTGTAAACATTATCATGACAGCTAAACTCTGTCACCAGGAAGTCTAACACCCTTTCAATCACATCTGAGCCAAACAATTATTGTTACTCTGGCTTGATCACTCATGCAATATGATTACCAGCAGAATACTTAATTTAACATTTGCTGTAAATAATTTAATAGAGATATATTATTTGACAACTATGAACCTTTAATTTCATACATATTGCAAAAGCACAAATATCAGTAGCTGTCTCATGGAAAAAAAAGTTTTAAAATTTTTTAATGTATTAAGTTTACTTTCATCTTGACATTTTAGTCTGATTTCAACATATCAGATATCAGTGATACCTGATTTATAGAAAACTATTCTTATTAATCATGCTTTTTCATACTCTAGTAAGAAGTAAAACATTGTTGATGCTTGATATAGAATGCAAGAAATTAAAATTTATAATCTGGTAATGTCATGATAGTTGTAAATGTTTTTCCAACATTCAGTTTTTCTGGTATATTTAACTTACATTTGATTTAAGTTCAGTGTAACATGACAGTTAAAGATTATTGTCTGCCAAATTATACACTCTAATGATATCAACTCTAAACAAGTAGTTAATTCTGTATTAGAAAAAAAACATGAAACTTCTTTGTAAATTCAAAATGAGGGAAGTTCATAAAACCTGACAAAAATCAATTTTGGACTATATTAATTTTGGACTATATTAATTTTGGACTATATTAATGTATTGGATTTGTCACATTCTGTTTGTAGGCTATCCCAGTGTCCCTGGCTCCTTATATGGAGATTACCCACCTAGTCATGCATCACAAAGTGGGCGAAGTATATTCGGAGATATCCCACCTACTCCAGGAAGTGGCAGCATCACTTTACCCGGTTCCGTTGAAAGTTAGTACCTTCAAAGTGAATATTGTAGTGTTAATATAGACAATTTAAGATGTGGTATGATTTAAATGAGACAACTTGAGACAACTCTCCACCATAGACCAAATGATGTAGAAGTTAACAACTATAGGTCACAGTACGGACTTCAACAATGAGCAAAACCTATACAGCATAGTAACGATATAAAAGACCATGAAAAGACAAATATAAAACAATTCAAATGAGAAAACTAACGTCCTGATTAAGAAAAACAAATATGATATACAGCAACAAACGACAAACACTGAATTGCAGGCTACTAACTTGGACAGGCACATGCAAAATTTAGCAGGGTTAAACATGTTTGTTGGCACCAAACCCTCCCCCTAACCTGGGACTGTGGTGTTGGTGTAACAGTATAACATAAGAACAAACTATAAAAATCAGTTGAAAAGGGCTTGATACAAAGCACAAAAAAACTTAAAAACACAAATGTACAGATTTGAGAGTACTCACACTGACTTGAAGGTAGTTCAAAGCCAATAACAACTAATAAAAAAATCATGTATCTAAGATTAGAATTATAAAAAATCATTTAAATTTATATAATTTTACATGTTATGTGTTCACCACAAAATATCTTAGATCACATCATATACCAGATTTGAAAGTTTAATATTAGAACGTTAGTAATTATCTTTATCAGTAAAATAGGTTTGGAATTTATCAATGAATATAATAAATTTTTAATGAAGATTTGCAAATTTTACTTTTTATACGACCGCAAAAAAATTTTTGTGGTCGTATATTGGTATGACGTTGGCGTCGTCGTCATCGTCGTCGTCGTCGTCTGGCGTCGTCGTCGTCGTCCGGCGTCGTCCTGCGTCGTCCGAAGACACATTGGTTTTCGCACTCTAACTTTAGTTTAAGTGAATGGATCTCTATGAAATTTTACCACAAGGTTCAATACCACAAAAGGAAGGTTGGGATTGATTTTGGGGGTTATGGTACCAACAGTAAAGGAATTAGGGGCCAAAAAGGGGCCAAAAATAAGCATTTTTGTAACTTCCAGACATAACTTGTGTGTTAGTGTATGGATCTCTCTGACATTGTACCACAAGGTTCCATATCACAAAAGGAATGCTGGGATTGATTTTGGGGGTAATGGCCTCAAAATTTTAGGAATTAGGGGCCAAAAAAGGGGCAAAACACAAGCATTTTTCTAGTTTCATGACAATAACTTGTGTGTAAGTGTATGGATCTTTCTGAAATTGTACTACAAGGTTCCATATCATAAAGGGAAAGCTGGAATTGAGTTTTGGGGTAATAGCCGAAATATTTAGGAATTGGGGGCCAAAAAGGGGCCAAAAATAAGCATTTTTCTAGTTTCCAGACAATAACTTGTGTTCAAGTGTATGGATCTCTCTGAAATTGTACTGCAAGGTACCATACCACAAAGGGAAGGCTGGGATTGATGATGGGGGTAATTGCCTCAATATTTTAGGAATAAGGGGCCAAAAAGGGGCAAAAAAACAAGCATTTTTACAGTTTCAGGACAATAACTTGTGTGTAAGTGTATGGATCTCTCTGAAATTGTACTGCAAGGTACCATACCACAAAGGGAAGGCTGGGATTGATGATGGGGGTAATTGCCTCAATATTTTAGGAATAAGGGGCAAAAAAACAAGCATTTTTACAGTTTCAGGACAATAACTTGTGTGTAAGTGTATGGATCTCTCTGAAATTGTACTGCAAGGTACCATACCACAAAGGGAAGGCTGGGATTGATGATGGGGGTAATTGCCTCAATATTTTAGGAATTTGGGGCCAAAAAGGGGCCAAAAAACACATTTTTCTAGTTTCCAGACAATAACTTGTGTTCAAGTGTATGGATCTCTCTGAAATTGTACTGCAAGGTACCATACCACAAAGGGAGGCTGGGATTGAGTTTGGGGGTGATGAATCATAAGGGGGTTCAAAAAATTTGGGGGGGGGATTTTTTTTTCTTTCATTTTTTTTCTTTTTTTCATTTTTTAAAATTTTTCTTTTAAAATTTTCCATTTTAAGTTGGTTATTTCTGATTTATATTTAAAAGCAAATAATAATGATATGGTAGGAGATACACACCAAACAGGATGTGTAAATTATTATATAATAAGTATTGTGCAATAGCAAGAAATTTTCAATTGCACAGTATTGCACAATAGCAAGAAATCTTCAATTGCACAGTATTGCGCAATAGCAAGAAATCTTCAATTGCACAGTATTGCGCAAAAGCAAGAAATATCCAATAGCACAATATTGCGCAATAGCAAGAAATTGTCAATTGTACAGTATTGCGCAATAGCAAGAAATATTTAATTGCACAGTATTGTGGAAAAGAAGATACTTTGTATAAATTGCTTATTTCTTGACCAATTTCAATGGGGTTTTATTCTTGAATTCTTGGGGTTCTTTAATATGCTGAATCTAACCGTGTATTTAGTTTTTGGATTTTGGGCCCCGTTTTTAAATTGGTCCACATTGAGGTCCAAAGGGTCCAAAATTAAACTTTGTTTGATTTCATCAAAAATTGAATTATTGGGGTTCTTTGATATGCCGAATCTAACCGTGTATTTAGATTCTTAAATTTTGGTTCCGTTTTCAAATTGGTCTACATTAAGGTCCAAAGGGTCCAAAATTAAACTTAGTTTGATTTTAACAAAAATTGAATTCTTAGGGTTCTTTGATATGCTGAATCTAAACATGTATTTAGATTTTTGATTATGGGCCCAGTTTTCAAGTTGGTCCAAATCGGGGTCCAAAATTAAATTTGTTTGATTTCAACAAAAATTGAATATATGGGGTTCTTTGATATGCTGAATCTAACCATGTATTTAGATTTTTGATTTTTGGGCCCCGTTATCAACTTTGTCCACATTGAGGTCAAAAGGGTCCAAAATTAAACTTTGTTTGATTTCATCAAAAATTGAATTCTTGGGGTTCTTTGATATGCCGAATCTAACCGTGTATTTAGATTCTTAATTTTTGGTTCGGTTTTCAAATTGGTCTACATTAAGGTCCAAAGGGTCCAAAATTAAACTTAGTTTGATTTTAACAAAAATTGAATTCTTAGGGTTCTTTGATATGCTGAATCTAAACATGTATTTAGATTTTTGATTATGGGCCCAGTTTTCAAGTTGGTCCAAATCGGGGTCCAAAATTAAACTTTGTTTGATTTCAACAAAAATTGAATATATGGGGTTCTTTGATATGCTGAATCTAACCATGTATTTAGATTTTTGATTTTTGGGCCCCGTTATCAACTTTGTCCACATTGAGGTCAAAAGGGTCCAAAATTAAACTTTGTTTGATTTCATCAAAAATTGAATTCTTGGGGTTCTTTGATATGCTGAATCTAACCATGTATTTAGATTTTGGATATTGGACCATAATAGGTGAATGTCCAATTTAAAATTTTTAAGTTCTTAGACCACATTCATTCTTTGTCAGAAACCTATGCTGTGTCAAATATTTAATCACAATCCAAATGCAAAGCTGTATCAAGCTTGAATGTTGTGTCCATACTTGCCCCAACTGTTCAGGGTTCGACCTCTGCGGTCGTATCAAGCTGCGCCCTGCGGAGCATTTTATTATTGTATTTATTTAAGAATGAAATACTCTTGAATCATTGATTTTTTTCACAGATATTAATATAGTTCATGATAAAAGATATTAATTAAGAAAGAAAAAAAGGAAAAACAAATTTTTCAAATAATACACTAGAAAATCTTTAAAAAGTTTACAGAAGCAAAAAAAAATCTTCAAAAAATTTAAAGAAGCTTATATATCTTATCTGCATGCTCTCTGTTTTAATGTTATGTATATGTTATTTATATTCAGTAAAAAGCTCTCAAGAACTTATGTTTGTACTGTTATATGTGAATCGAAATCAAAATAAAACTTTCGTTTTCGTATTCAGTTTGCCCCCAAAAGTGGAATTCATTTATATGGTTGATAAGCTTAAACCCCAAAACTTTTTTTTCACTTATTAATTTGATCTTCAGTATATTTGACCCTTTTTCCCTACAAATTCTTTTACATTTAGGCAACAGGATTTGATAAAGTCAGCTTATTTTTAATTTGATTGTTAAGCAAGTCAGACAAACTTTGTTGCCTAGATATAGTGCAGCCTGAAATCCATTAGAGATTAGGTGTTAAAAACCCCTATATAATCAACCAAATTTTTCAATTTTCACAGCTTTCTCTAATATTTTACCTTAAGTTTAACTTCATAGAAACAAGGCATATCCTGAATTGTACATGTATCACCTTTCTATATGCCAATTTTCAACCAATGTTTAAAGTCTTTTGGTGAAATCAACCACTAAAAATAACCCCTGGTTTTCTGGAAATCTAAGATAAGTATACTATAGAGTGCATTTATCCTCAATTTTGAAAGCAAAATCATGGACAAATAAATTTTGGCTCATAATGGTCCAAATATATTTCTCTTTCATGAAAATTTTCACTTCTGCAAATTTGTTTGTTAGTATAAGTAAACAATGACATGTTTTAAATTGGAGGAGATAAATCAGAATTGGTTGTTTGACACCTAAAGTCTTCTTTGCCTTTTAACTTTGGATAATTTATTATCTGCCACTGTATTGTAGGTCTTTAAATAATAAACAACTGCAAAAAAGTTATTTTAATGATGCGAAATTTCTTTTTTAAGGTTCTCGACTGACAAGTCCTAGACCCAGTATCATTGGTAAAAGTAGTAGAAAACGAGCACTTTCTCATTCCCCTATCTCTGATTACCTTGACATCCAGAGCCTGACACGGAGCTCTGAAGGATCTCTACATCTCACACCCTATATGCACCAGAATAATTCCCGTAGCTCAAGCGCTAGTGGATCTTATGGCCACCTTTCAGCAGGTAAGTTTTATTAAATAAGTTTTATATTTAGGGCTTATCCAGAAAATACTATGTCCCAACCACGATCTGCAATTGATATTTTTTGTTATATGTAGGTGGTAGTATCTTGAAGAAGTTAATTAAGTAGGTGGTGCCATTTCACATGAATCTATTTCTGCTTGGTGATTGTTAATTTGATGAATTTAATGATATATAGGTGGTGGTTTGTTCTATGATTTTTGTCGATCCTGCGACTTTTGTCGCAGAAAGCTGGACATAGGGATAGTGATCCGGCTGCGGCTACGGCGGGGCGGGGGCGTTAGCTAACTTCTTAAAAGCTTTATATTTTAGAAGGTAGAAAACCTGGATGCTTCATACTTTGTATATGGATGCCTCATGTTACGAAGTTTCCGTCAGTCACATGTCCAATGTCCTTGACCTCATTTTTATGGTTCAGTGACTACTTGAAAAAAAAGTTAACATTTTTTGTAATGTTAAATTCTCTCTTATTATAAGTAGTAGGATAACTATATTTGGTATGTGCGTACCTTGCAAGGTCCTCATGCCCGTCAGACAGTTTTCACTGGACCTCGACCTCATTTCATGGATCAGTGAACAAGGTTAAGTTTTGGTGGTCAAGTCCATATCTCAGATACTATAAGCAATAGGTCTAGTATATTCTGTGTATGGAAGGACTGTAAGGTGTACATGTCCAACTGGCAGGTGTCATCTGACCTTGACCTCATTTTCAAGGTTCAGTGGTTATAGTTAAGTTTTTGTGTTTTGGTCTGTTTTTCTTATACTGTATGCAATAGGTCTACTATATTTGGTGTATGGAATGATTGTAAGGTGTACATGTCTAGCCGGCAGGTGTCATCTGACCTTGACCTCGTTTTCATGGTTCAGTGGTCAAAGTTAAGTTTTTGAGTTTTGGTCTTTTTTTCTAATACTATATGCAATAGGTCAACTATATTTGGTGTATGGAAATATTTTATGATCTATATGTCAGTCGCACAGGTTTTATATGACCTTGGCCTCATTTTCACGGTTCATTGCTCAGTGTTAAGTTTTTGTGTTTTGGTCTGTTTTTCTTAAACTATAAGCAATAGGTCAGCTATATTTGTTATATGGAAGAATTGTTAACTGTACATGTCTGCCTAGCATGGTTCATCTGACCTTGACCTCATTTTCATGGTTCATTGGTCAGTGTTTAGTTTTCTTGGTTAATGTTAAGTTTATGTGACAGTTGTAATAAAGCTTTATATTTAGGACTATCAACATAATATCAATGATTAGTAAAGAAGGCAAGACATTTCAGCGTGTGCACTCTTGTTTAAATAAAATGTAGAACAACTTATTTTTACGCTTGAATCATACGTTCCTTATTTATTATTTTCAAGCAGAACATAGCAGGTCCATGACTGAATTAAAGTAACTACGCCTTATTTTTAGCCAGGATTTTTAATATTCCTATTGTCACCTGATAAAGTCAGGCTGATTATAAGGTGCACAGTTTTCACTGCTTTCAAAATCTTTCTGTTGAACCTGTTGACCCAGAACTTGTTAATTATTGGTAATATAAATTATGTTGAAAACAAAAGAGCCAGGAATGGTGTAATTTTTAATCAAAATCATTGTCCTATATTAGTTATATATAAAGTTGAATTGTTTGATTCGTCGTTTTTACATCATGCCGGCTAACAAATTGGACCTCGTTATTTTAGTAGTATAGATTTATAAAATCAGGACTAGTTGAGTTTCTGTATTGATGATTTATATGCTGTGAGACCCCCATGTTTTACCACATTAATTTGAAATAACCATTAATGAATTTTCCATGATTAATATGGACATATTACAGCTTACCACCCATGTTGTTGAAGGTTTTTCAGGACCATAGTATATAAACCAAAATCTACCCTTCTACCATCTATACTTCCTTTGGAACATACTTTGGTTGCCTCACCTATAGATAATTTGTTCCAAACAGCAAGAAACTTATTGAATAAAAATATTAAAAATTGAGATGAGAAAGCATGATTTATTAATACAAAACCAGAAATTTGTTTATGTCAAGAAAATTATCTGACACACATTTCTGTATTTTTTGTCTTTATCTTCATTTGCATCTTTGGCCTTTATGAAATAATCTATTGTTGGTTGGTAATCAATATTGTTGGTGGTTGTTTCAAAATTGATTAAACTTCATTTGGTGGTATTGGTATATGTAATGTTTATCTTTGGAGGGACATAGTATTTTCTGGAATAGCCCGTATTAGGTGTATGTAGTATAAATAATCTATGTTTCTTAGCATATTACATAAATTTATGCATTAAGGATCCAGGAAGTATTTTATACTAATATGCTTTTGTCTGTAAACATATTTAAGACCATGAAAAGTAAGTATTCTGGTTCTCAGATACAGCCATGTTGTTAAAAAATCGGAAGTTATCTTGTATTCATGGAAAAAAGAAAGTGTAAAAAATGTTTTCAATTTTTATCTCATTCAAACCGGGGAAAGGATGATAACTCTTGAGGAGAACTTGGATCTTGAATTCTAATGGAGTGAAGTTAATTTGATATCTGCAAACACTTTGCTTCAGAACAAGATATTCAAAATCATAAAGATTTAATCAACTTTATCATTTCCTATAAGAATTTTGTTCTGAGTTTAAATTTTTTTTTTAGACATTAACTGCATACATTTTATAGAACACCATTTTAAGTTAGTTGAAAACTAAAGTCTAATTAATACAGTGTTCTCCATTTTTCACTAAGGTAAGGTGGGTGTTTTGAAAAAATTACTTACAACCGGGTGTTTTTTTATTGTTTTAACAATTCCAACCGGGTTTTTTACTGTTGGCGGGGGCCACAAAAAGAAGGATTAGTATTGTATACACATTTCATAAAATTGAACTGTTCTTCTGCTATCACTGCTAGCCATTCATTTGACAAATTAGTTTTGCGGATCTCGGATATGGCTTTTGTAGGACTCCCTCCTCCTGCATATGCATAGCTTATCGATCCAAGTTTATTTCTGTCCTGTTCCTCGCTTTAGTGCTGTATTTTTGGAACACAAAGCAGTTATATCCTCCTTCTGTGACTATTAGCCATTTAAAGTCCTGTTCATATTCATCAAATGAGGGGTAACCTCTCAATATAATGACTATCTCTTTTATGAGGGGTACATTTTTGAGATACAAATGAGCACATACTTATTTTATTTACAGAAAATTTTCCCAAAGTACTATACATATATTTGGTATTATATGGTCAAAACATGTCCAAAAAGTTTGTAATATTCCTGGACTTATATCTTCTTTATCATTAAAAATAATGGGACCTTCTTTTAGAAAAATTGGTCCGAATATAACGATTTGTCCCCCTTTTAAGTTAAAAAATCTAAGTTTTTCTTTTTTCTTTTCTTCAACAGAATTAACATAACCTCTTGCCAGAGCAAAAGTCCTTCATTTAAGGGATATCCCTCATTTAGGGGATAGACACTTGTATGCAAATTTGTCCACCATTATGTAAAATCAAACAGGTTCCCGTAAACTTTTCCCAACCTGTTTATCTTCGCGATCGCTTCTGTTCCTTTTCCGTTGTTTTGATACTTTTTATTCCATTTCAACAATTCCAATACAACTATCCGTTTTAGTTGACTTATTTGGCCTAGAATTTTCCTTATCACCATCGTCATCTGCCTTTCTCTTCCCCCGATTAATAAAAGAAAACATTGAAATTTGACGATCCACCATTTTTGTCAATGAAAACAATCAGCGAGGCGTGATAAGTATTTAAATTTTTTTTAAATCTGGAATTTGAAAAAAAGCCGACCACGTCCTAAAATGGAAAGGTGGTCGGCTTTCAAAAGAAGGTGGTCGGCACACCCGGCTTAAATGCCGAATGGAAAACACTGTAATATATGACAATACAAAATTTTCCAAACAATATATGACAAAACTAGTGTCCAAACCAAGGGTCCGGAAAGGGCCATATTTGCCAGACATGACCGAATCTGAAATCTATTTGTCCTAAATGACAAATTGGGATTTAGGACAAATTTAATTTTTTTACAGAAATAATTTCGGTCATTTTGTTGAGATCGGGTTTCTTAATCGCCATTTTGCACTTGTTTTTGTTTTGGTATCCCTTTCCTGTAATAAAACTGCCACTCCAGTATAGTATTATAATACTGAGGGCCCTCCTAATAACTATATAAATGCCTCAGGGAAATATTGGTTTATGATCGCTAATCCACCTTTTACCTGTGTTTTTAATTCATACCTGACATTAATCACAAGCTCGGAACTAAAATTATAAAGAAATTAAAACTCCATGACAACTGTCTTCATTATTTAATTACTTTTCAGCAAAGACAATCTCCAATTCTAATTCAAAAATTAAAACTTAAATAAAAAGTAATTTTTCATGAGTGCTTTATTTACTATGTAATACGCATGCGTGAAATTGTCTTCAGCAGATTAGACACTTAATCGTAAAATACAAAATGATTTCATGCTTAATAAAACAAGTGCAACTATTATCTGTAATATTCAAACACTTTTAAAGGTAAAAAATTAAAAAGCCGGTGATTTCCTGTCAATTTGATAAACAAAACGAGTCCAGAATTACTCGTGCTTTAGTTTTGTCAGAAAACATCTGGTTTTAATTTCGTCTTCAAAATCAAAAGAAACATTAGCGATGTCTGAGAAATTTACCATTTTGAGTCATTAAAATCGTTCCAATGTTTGAACTGTTGCCTTCCCTTAACTGTTCTTGAACGTTTTTAGAAAAATGGCAAGAAAATTCATGAAGCAAATGTGACGAAACAGTCAAATCAAGTTCGTTGATGCTATGAATCTTGTGTGATTTCGACAATTTTTTTTTTTGAAAAAGGGCACCAACTTTTAAGTTATCTCAAAATGACATGATGACTGAAATTGTGTGAAAAAATTTCCAGATTGGTCCAAACAATATATGACAATACTAAAGTTTAAACAATATATGACAACACTAAAGTCACAACAATATATGACAATACTAAAGTCAAAACAATATATGACAACACTAAAGTCAAAACAATATATGACAATACTAAAGTCAAAGCAATATATGACAAAACTAAAGTCTAAACAATATATGACAATACTAAATTTTCCAAACAATATATGACAAAACTAATGTTCAAACAATATATGACAATACTAAAGTTTAAACAATATATGACAATACTAAAGTCTAAACAATATATGACAAAACTAAAGTCCAAACAATATATGACAACACAAAAGTCTAAACAATATATGACAACACTAAAGTCTAAACAATATATGACAACTGGTTGTTTGTGGAATAAAATAAATCATACATTAACCAGGTTATTCATTTGCTATATAAAACAACACCTGAACATATGCAACACAGTATTTGATAGGTCAGGCATGTGTTGCTCAATCTTGATTTTTTTTGTATATTGTTATGTGGGCTACTCTTTGTCTTTTCATCTTTTACATTTAGGCCAATGATATTGTATTTCCTTAGTTTTCTTGTATGATTTTTGTATTGCTCCTTAGGTGTCTTTTTTGTATTTATATTCAGGAATATGTAGTTTTAAAAAATACTCTTTGATGCTATATATATTCAGTTATCAACTGATATTTTTAAACACTGTATATATATTCAGTTATATATAGAGTGTTTAAAAATATCAGTTGATGTCATTATAGATATAAATACAAAAATTAATTAACCTCCCTCTCTACCTCATCAATATTTTAGAAGTCAGTATCAGATAATTAATTCTACTTGGCCTAACTTTAGATATAACATTGATTTCACACATGCTGAATAATACCATTACCCACTTTTTAAGTAGGGATAGATACATTTAACTTTACTTTGAGGCTATAAATGATTAATCCAGTAATGTGTTTAGGAATGAATTAAATTTTATCTTCAGATAAAGATAGCAATTTTTTTAGAAATCACTATCAGAATTTTTTGAAATTTTTGATTATCTACCAACAGTAAGGTTATTTCATGGTTTGATGTTTAACAGTAAGTTTTTGTGAGAAGGTTACATTTTCAATTACTAAGTGATATTTCAACTCAGTATTCATTTGAAAGTGTGCATGTCAGTGGGATAAGTATCACTTGATTTTGACCTGATGTTCATGGGTAATTGATTCCCAAGGGTTCTGTGATAGTAATTTTCTCAGTAACTATTATAGCTTTTTATCTGTAATCTGAATACATAATGCACATGGTACATGAGTAGATTCTGTAGACTCAAGATAATGAAATTGTAGTTAAAATCATTACACATATAAAC